TGACTTAATTGACACGGAATCCAAGGAGCGCAGACAAAGCAAGGCATGAAAGAAGTGTGTTGTCCACTGTATTTCAGAGCTCACATGATGGGTGTAAGGGCCACAGTTATTCAGTCATCATCCCCGGCAGTGCCCTCTCACCTGTTGAATGGGTTAATCCAACACAAGGTTCCTGAAGTGAAGATTGGAGTCCATCAGCCTATGCCGGCTAACCTCAGCACAGAGTTGCACAAACACGAGTGAAATACCAGTCCTGAACACACTCCTAACCATGGTGCAGGCATTTCAGAAAAGAAAATCCATTAACTTTGATCACAGTTCACTCCCTCTCACGTGTCCTGTCCGATTTATGACTTAAACGAAGAAAAATAGTCACACAAAACGAAAGTTTGAACTTCACATTCAACTGTTTTCTGTTTTCACTTTTCAAAAACAACACAAATTTCGTCTGCTTCGTGCTGTATTCGCAGGCGGCTATTGTTTTTGTTTTTAAAAAACGAAAACAGAAAACAGTTGAGTGTGAAGTTCAAACTTTCGTTTTGTGTGACTATTTTTCTTCGTTTAAGTCATAAATCGGACAGGACACGTGAGAGGGAGTGAACTGTGATCAAAGTTAATGGATTTTCTTTTCTGAAATGCCTGCACCATGGTTAGGAGTGTGTTCAGGACTGGTATTTCACTCGTGTTTGTGCAACTCTGTGCTGAGGTTAGCCGGCATAGGCTGATGGACTCCAATCTTCACTTCAGGAACCTTGTGTTGGATTAACCCATTCAACAGGTGAGAGGGCACTGCCGGGGATGATGACTGAATAACTGTGGCCCCTTTCACCCATCATGTGAGCTCTGAAATACAGTGGACAACACACTTCTTTCATGCCTTGCTTTGTCTGCGCTCCTTGGATTCCGTGTCAATTAAGTCAGCAAGGGGCAAGGCCTTAGGTTCAAAACACATCATCTTTTGAGATTTCTTTTCTTATACTTTAAATTTAAATACAGTTTTCAATCATCATCTGCGACATTATTGCGAACCTGCTTGTGTGATATTTTTAATCGCACCATGCTTGGCACGCAAGCTGCAAATTGCTGCGGCTTTACCATGAACGCTTTAACTTGTAATCTACCTCTAAGGTACGCTTTAGTTTTGAGCGTACTTGTTATGTATGCTGTAACTTGTTGCGTACCTAACAAGTACGCTTCAAGTTGAAGCGTACTTACAGGTATGCTCCAATAAGAGCGTACTATGTACACTCTTCGGTTTGCAGAGCGAAAGGGCATTCTTGGCGGAAAGGGCCTGGACGCGCCCCGACGCGCCCCGACGCGCCCATTCGCCAGGGCCGTACCTGCGAGGCTGTGAGTCGACGCCGACGCATTCCAGCGTGTATTTCATTCTGCACCGCCGTGCCCACCGTGCCTTCCGACTGGGCGCGTTGTTCGGATCCCCTCGCCCTTCGGGTCGCGCGCACGATCACCTCGACGAACGGCCGCCGCGGTCAGTGAGGAGCGTCGGGGTGCAGCCCCGCGGAATGCGGCTCGCGCCCCCATCGCTCTGTCTCTGTCGCACTCGCGGTGCGTCGCGCGGGGAGAGAGAGGCAGAGCGATGCGGGTGCGAGTACGTGCGGCGATGTGGCGATGGTCGTCGTGGTGCAGGAGGCATTCACTGTCTTGGCTTGCCTCGCCTCGCCACGCCTCGCCAGGGACCCGCATTCCACCTGCCAGCCGCTGCGTGCTGCCCTGTCGGCCTGTCGGGTCGGACCTCAACCCTCCGGGAGCGACGCCCTGAGGTGTCCGTCGCCGCGACCATCACAGCCGCGCGCGGATGCCTCTCAAAACGCGATTTAATCCCAGTGACGTCGCAGTGACTTTATGCGGGCATTGAATAACGGGCTTTGCGAGGGTTCGATTCCTTTCTCCCTCTCCCTCTATTTTTTTCGCTCCCTTGATGACACCCGCAAGCACCGCGACGGCGTCCCCTTCCTGCTGACGCTGCCGTGCGGAATGCGTGGCCCCGAAGGGGAGGCGGTGGAGGTATTTGGACTCCCTGGCCGCCCTGGGCACCCCTTTGAGTCCCCGCCAAGGGCTCCAGCCCCGCTGTGGGCCCCCGAGGAAGCATGAGGAGGCCGGCCCACCAGCAGACTGATCCCGAGCGGGACGTCTCGCTCTCGCTCTCTCTCTCGGGGCGAGCCGTGGGTGCGAGTGAGACAAACAGCCCACACACGCGCAGAGCCGTGGCCCCGCCCCCATCAACTTTGACGTTGCTCCACCTCATCTCGGTCCGCCTGCAGGCTGCTGGTTCCGAAGAGTCTGTCTCTGTCGCCCTCGCGGGGCGTCCCGTAGCCCCGCGGCCCCGCGGGGGGTGCGAGGGAGACAGCCTGCCGGCCGCTCTCCCTTCGGCCGACCGGGGACGGGGCGGACGCTTAGGCTTTTCCTGTCTTGTCCGCTGAAAGAAACGAAAGATGAAATGGTGTTGATTGACCCTCCCTGTCCTGTTTGCTGTCGTCGACGGAGGGGAGGGGAGGGGGTAATCCGGGCGCCTCGTGTTGGCCCGGCGCTGTCACTGGAGCCTCCAGCAGGCTGGGACTCGCCGCGCTCAAACCGTCTGGAACGGGGAGGGCCTCGGAGAGGGAGGGAGAGAGGGGCGGGACGGGGATTTGTTGATGGCTCTGCAAGTTTTTCTTTTCGCTGTCGGATGGAGTGCCTGGAGTCTCTTCCGGGGGGGTCCGTCGCGAGGACGGCGAGCTCCAGCGGGCTGTCCGTTGCTGGAATGGGACGTGGCGTGAGCCTCGGCGAGACACTAGTTTAGGAGCCGCTGGCGCCGCCGCCACCAAGGCCCTCGAACATGCGAGCGGCCGCTGCCGTGAGCCCCTTGGCAGGACAATCCCTGACAGTCGCTGACAATCGCTGACAGTCGCTGACAATCGCTGACGCCGCTAGCGCCACCACACCCACGCGGTCGATGTTGGAGTCTGGGGCTGCCGCTGGCTGCAGCGCACTCGGAGGGCCTGATTGCGCGGCGCTCTTCAACGTGAATGCCGTGTGATTGCCGCGACGGCCTCGGTGCCGCGGAGCACCTCCGCGTCGACGACGACGGCCACGTGCAGTGTGTGCGCGAGGGAGTGAGCCTTCTGGCGGCGGATTTGGCCCCGCCGAGCGCAAAGGGAGTCAGTTGTACCCGCACGAGATTAACCCGAGACAACCTCCCCCTCCCCCTTTTCCCTCATAACCCTTGCCCGTGCTCGCTGCTGGCGGGGCGGGCGCGGGTCGTGTTTCGTACCCCGAAAGCTGGCCGCAGTGCAGGGCGTGGCGCGGCGTGGCGGCCTGGCGGCGGCGGCAGGGCTGCAACTCCTTGCCTACTGATAAGCAGCAAACTTAGTTCTCTCCTGCTACTGCAGGGACCGGGGCAACTGGTGCGCCACGCCGCGTCGCCCCGTCTCCAGATTGGGGGCAGGACGCGCCGAGGCTCAACTCGACTCCCATGCGTCCATTTTCGCCGTTCCGAGTTTCCCGGGCGTCCCGTCCCGTCCCAGCCCGGCGTCACGTGCAGTTGCGAATGGGTTTCGTGATTTGGTTATTTGCTGTTTGCGAGTTGGCAATGGCAATCGGGTCGCGGACCCCCGCCAATACGTCCGGCGGACAGACAGACAGACAGACGGACGGACTGACCGGCGGACAAGGCTGCAGGCGAGTTAGGATGTCGCCCCGTCCAGCGACTGGACTCCAGTCCCGCCTGCTGGCAGTGCTGGCTTCATTAGTGTCCTCGGAGAAGCAAGTGAGGGGGCTCCCCGGGGCCCTCGGGCTGTTCCGTTCCGTTCCGACTTTTCGCCCTTCTTCTGTCCTGGAACAAGTGGACGCTTTGACGGGCTGCCAACCGTCCGCGATCGACGGTCGGAGGGGGAGGGGGGACTTCCCCCGGCGGCGTAGTTACTTTTGTTTGCAGCCTACTGCCGCGGCGGGTGTGTTGGTGTGTGTGTCCGTGGGTAGCGTGCTTAGAAGGCGGCCCGTTCTCCTTGGTGTCCCAAACCACCACCGCCCCCCTCTTTTCCTCCTCCCTGACGCCCTCCCCTTCCGCCTCTCTCTCTCTCTCTCTGACATTTCGTTCCGAAAATGTCGGTCAGCCGGGGCGAGTAGGGGCTGAAAATGTCATCAACGCAGGGCGGCCGGCCGCGCCGCGCCGTGTTTAGAAAATAATAATTGCCTGACACAAAGGATGACCTTCCCTCGAGCCTCCCGGACTCCGGTTGTGATTTCCATCCGCCGCGCGCCGAAAACACGTCGCCATCGATTTGGCGCGCCGTTGTTCGACATCACCCCCCCCCCCTCGTCCTCGGTTTGGCCGTGTGATTGATGATGGCGTTTTGACACATTCGCATCACCGAGTTTCGAAAAGGCGCCGCCGTGCCGCCACGCCCTCTGGCTCGGCGTTTGAAAGCAACCCGGTTTCTCATCGGTTTCTTCTTTTCTGTCTGTTGCAGGTAACTTTGGTGCGGCGGTTGTTGCAGTGGCGACGCGGTCCGCGAGTCGGTTTGTAGAATCTGGAGGTGGCCGCCGCTGCCCGAGGGGTGGCGTACTGCCTCCTGCGGCCCACTGATCCCGTAGAGTCCCAGCGTCGCCCAGGGGCGCGAGCGAGAGAGACGGCGCCGAAGCGACCCTCCGGCATCCTTGGCCTCGGCCGGTGTCCTCCCCCCGGCTGTCACTGGGGCGGCCGGGCGGCCCGCTCGGTGCACGTGGAAGCGCCGACCGGCAAATTGGAAAGAGAGGGGGGAGGGGGGAGGCGCCAGTGGCGTGGCCAGGCGTGGCCCGATTTGCCTTGATGTTTAATCTTTGTTGTTGTTGCCCGACGTCGGCCCGTCCGCCCCGCCGGCCTTCTCTCCACTGCCCCTCTGGCAGTGAACTTGTCGGGCGAGTTTGGAAAATCCCGAATCAAGGGTCCTCTCAACAACAACACTGCCTTTTCCTGTTCGTTTTTCGGGATGGTGTCACCGAGTTGTTTGGTGTGTGTGCAGGGCCGGTGTAACCGCGAGAAGCCGCCGTGCAAGTACTTCCACCCTCCCCAGCACCTCAAGGACCAGCTCCTCATAAACGGCCGCAACCACCTCGCCCTCAAGAACGCCTTAATGCAGCAGATGGGCCTCTCGCCTGGGCAGCCCATGGTTGCCGGTCAAGTGCCAACAGTCGTGAGTAGTCCGTCTAGGGGACGCGTCAGCACCCATTTCTAAGAGTCGACGTTTTTTAAAATCATCGTTTCTCTCTGTGGAAGGCACTAATTTTTGTGTCATGGCTCAGCTGTTGTTAGTTTCCAGGGTTCGGTTTTTAATTGAGCCGATCTGTCTGTAAAGAATAGCTTGTAACAAGCAACCACATTATTTTGAAAATTAGCCCAGTGTTGTCATTTTGAGCCATAAACTGATCAAAACTAGTGCTGTTTGTAACACTTGTGGCGATCCGTTTTGTTATCTTTATGACGATCCTGTGTCGCACCGAGGAGTTGCTTACCCTCTCAATATGTTTGCAGGCAACGAATCCTTATTTGACGAGCATGCCCCAGGTTGGCGGCACATTCAGTCCATACTTCACACACGCAGGACCTATCATGCCAACGGCCATCATGGGTCCAGACCCTGCTGGAGTAACGTCACCTCTTGGCATGGTGCAACAGACTGTTGTGACACAACAGAAAATGCCACGGTCAGACCGCCTTGAGGTGAGCCCATATCCTTGTTTGTAAATTTTATTTAAGTATTAACAATGTCGTCATATTTGCCTTGGTGCCTTGGTTCTGTTTTGACCTTGATGAATCGAAGATTTCACCCATTTGGAAATGTTGTACGTGTTACTTTAAACAAAAGCAGCACTCAAAATATTTGAGAGTGATTGTTCTAATATGGTTATTTTGAGCATAGAACTTTGCTGTAACTTACAAGCATTCAGTGTGTAAAATCTATTTTAAAAGTGATCTTATCAGGAGGCTCACTTTGTAATTTTATATTGTAACAGTGAAAAGTCAACACCATTTGAATTCTCATTTGATATTCTCACTTTGTCATAAGATCTACTTTCAAAGAAAAGGAAAGAAAATAATCTAACTACTTTCAAGTCCATTTCTTTCTTTTTTTTTGCGAGCAAATGTTCGTGCTTGTCTTGTAGACTGTAAATATCCATCATACTATTGGACCATAGCTGTCCACTGACTGACACTATGTTCCTTTTAAATGAAAGTAGCTCTTATCTCAAACAATTTCATCCCATCATTATTTAGATTCATAAACCTGTAGGACAGGAAGAGGAAATCTCATTGATTTAAAAATAGGGATGTTAGTTTGCAACAGTTAACCTGTTTAGCATAGGGGTATTTCAGGGCTTCCTATATGAAGACCCTTATGCCTCCCTGAATGTTGGTTGACTCATCTGCAATCTACCAGCAAGCTCTCTGTTATGGCCCCTCCCTCTCCCACTCCACAAGTACACAAAACTCTTCCCATATACTTTTATTTAGATGTTTATATATGTTTTTTTGTGTTGTTTTTACCTGTTAATTGGTGTGTCATTTATTCATGATTAACCCTATTATTTCTTTATACTTTTAATTTATCTGTTGTTTAACTCTGATTTCCCTCTAATACTTAAGCTTTCCTCCTTTCATTTTATTTCAGTTTAATTCAGTTTACAGGTGCAGCCCCTCAGGCTGATATTAATTTATGCTTGAATGGATAAGCTTTGTGCTCCCATCTACTACAACTAGCCTTTGATTTAAAAAAATTAATGATTTTACAATTAATTCTCTCAATCCTTTGGTCATTGGCATTTTAGTAGAATGGTAGTTTTCTTATCCTGTACTGCGTGCAGCCAAGCAGCAGTAATGCAAAAAGTTCAGGAAGCTTTTTGCTAGATTAAATTCAGTTGAGAGCATTCTACGCACCACATTGTGTTAATGCCATTTGTCTCCATTTGTTGCTTTATTTTATTTTAGGATTATTTTTATTTGTATCTTAAGTTGATTGGGAACTACTGGTGTTGTGAAGCAGTTTAAACAATGTGCAATCAGCTTCCTGGGAGCTTGTATTGAGTCAATCCCATAAATTATGTGATCAAGAGCAAAAACTTGAACCACCAACAATTGTATTGAGTGCCAAGTCATCTGTAAAATTACAAGACCATTTCTCTTGATCAATACATTTAGGAAGGGAAATACACTGCAAACACATTTGCCATATCACGCTTTCCCAAATGGAACAAAATGAGAAGACGATATTCCTGCGGCCTGGCCTGGCCCTGCTATGGCCTTGCGGGTTGATAGCCAGCTCACTGCTGCCATACCACACTGTCTAGCTTCTCTGTCTTTCTTCTGCCACTGTCTCCCGCTGTGTTGCAGTGCACTTGCTCCCCCTTGCTTTCCCTTCAGCTATTGTCATTCCTTGTGTTCAACCTCCAACGGAATGTGACGTTGTCTTGTTTAAAGAACTGAGGATCGGGGCTGATTTAATTTCTGCAGCTGAAGTAATTTAAACGTTTGATATGGGCATAAATTGTGGCTATTAGCTTTACTCCTTCAAAGGCGATGTGTTTTTCTTCCTTTGTTTTCAATACTTATAGAAAATCATTGCCATAGGACGAATGAGCAAAATTTCAATTCAATGCTTTAAACATAATGACAAGCTACTTTGTAATAATGCTTTATTGAAAATTTTAATGGCTTTATATTTAAATGCTCCTTATCGTGAATCAGAATTGTGTGAGCCATAATTAACACGAGTGTTTCATTAAATAGTATGCATATCATGGTTTGATGTTTTACTTGTCTAAAATTATCATTGATATTATGTCTTGAAACCTTACTTAATTGATGAATAACCTTAATTATGGAGAGTTTTGTGTGCTTCTCCTCATGGGAGCAAGGCGTCATGTTCATGTGGAGAGAGTCTGCATCGGGTGCAAGAAGCTGAGGGATGCAACGCAATGCCCATCTCTTCTGACCCAGTCAGTTAACATCTTGATGATATTAATGCATTGCAATTTATATTTTAATGTTTCAAACTCCTCTGGAAAAAAAGTAGAAGCAAAACTTTTTCAAAAATTTAAGCGGTTCAAGAATAGTTTTTCAACTTTGTTTTCTTCATTTAAATAATGATAGTGTATAATTTATAGGTTTAGGCTGGGCATTAGATTGGCTTCCTGATAGGTAGATAGGGACATTTATGTTATTTGAAGAGGAGACAGTATTTTTGCTAAAAGTGTTCCCTCATAATCATTCTGCCTCATCTTCATTGTTCATTCATTCATTCATTTATTCATTTATCCCCTGCCACATTCCACGCCCACCACCATCACGTCCACCACCACCGCCACCCTGTCCCACCCCCACCCCCTTCCATCCGCCCATTCATCCATATCATGGTCATCGTCATCGTCATGGTCCTTGGCCGCAGCTGTAGCGTGCTTGTGGTATCCCCGTGCCCTAGGTCTGTCGAGAATTCCAGCGCGGCGCGTGCAAGCGTGCTGAGTGCGAGTGCCGTTTCGCGCACCCGCCAGAAGCCGTGACGGCCTCCGAGGACGGAACAGTCACGGTCTGCATGGATGCCGTGAAGGGGCGCTGCAGCCGCGACCCTTGCCGCTATTTCCACCCCCCTCTGCACCTCCAAGCCTATATCAAGGCTGCACAAGCGCGCCCCACCGCGGTAGGCATTCTCGCCTCTCTTTTCTCCTCTCTGCTCTTTGTCTTTTAGTTGATGATGACTACTGCTATTGGAGACTCCACAGTCCTCTCGTCTTGCCTGGCTTGTTACTACCTCTCCCTCTCGGAGCACCAAATTTCCTTGCCTTTAAGTTTCACGGCTCTGCTGCTTTTGAAAGTGGGCCTGGGTTTGCGAACAAACTCATGTCCATGCGTCATTGCCTCTGTCTATCCCTCTAAACTCCTCGGCTTTCTGTGTTCTGCTCAGAGATTTCTAGCTTTACATAACAAATAGCATAATAAAATTTGTCAAAATGTAAATCTCAACTAAGTTTGTTTTGAGCGCTATTATTTTTTTCATTTGTTGATTCAGTACTTCTGTACGAAACAGTTTCCATTTCAATGACGCTCCTATAGTTCATGTTAGCATTTTGTCATTTTGTTCTGCTCTTTATGTTTTGACGGAAAGCTTGCAATCTCTGTTTCTGTGCATCATTTTCCCAAACATCATTTTTGTTTTGTTGCGAACTCTCTCGTCTAATAGATAAACAGCAGCCCCTATGTTTGGCTTCAACATTTCCTTAATGTTGATTGAAGTGTGTTATTTTGAAGTAGTTTCATTCAATTACGAAGGTAAAGAAACCATGTCACTTCAGGGGCTCATGAGAGGGAAAAGTAGTAATGGTCAATAGTTCTGAAGATGTGGACTGTCTTCAGCAGAAGCCATCTGCATCCATTTATCTGTATCTATCCGCCTGTCTATCAGTCTTACTGTCTTTCTGTCTATCTAGTCTATTTTCTTTACTTCTTACATTTTGCTCAGTCTTTCTGCCCGTTTATTTGTCTATTTTCTTTTGCTGTTTCTTTCAATTTCTTTTCTAATGTCCTTCATTCCATTATTTTGCTTACTGGTTAGTTTTGCCAATCTTTTGTAGTGTATGTTCTTTTGCAATCTTTAGACCTGATTATTTAGTTCCATTAATAGTCTCATTTGTGGAAAATAATCAATTCTTCTAGGCCAGGACATAAAGTAAAGGGAATAATCTCCCTGTACCTTTTGAAGTTCTTGCTACAGTAATTAATAATTTTGTATAATCTTCTGATATCTTAAGTGACACTTCAACTATCCCAGATGCTGCCCACCCTGCTGCTTCATTTTTGTTGCTATGCGCTCCAGAGCAAGCAAGATTTTTTTCCGTGCTGGGATATCTTTCAAAATATAATTCTTATTGCTCTGAATTTTATAAAATGTCGCCTCATGTGCCATAATGTTTTGCCTTGCTTCTGATATTATGTTGCCGTTTTGCAAACCATGATCCTTTCCAGAATCCTATACCTGTGTTCTGCTACTCTGTTCTGTGTCTCCTCTCGCTGTCTGCTCTGTCTGTCTCTCTCTCTGACTTCCCCACCATCATTTTGCACTTTGCTTCCACAGACACTGACAACTATAAACTTATTTAATATATTTTCTGTTTACACTAATTCAACAATTATAACATTAATTACATATAGCAGTCACCGGTAAATAGGGGTTTGAATTTGGCTATCTTTGTTCTAAATTGTGTTAAGTGGTTATCTGCAGAAACTCACATTATTTCAATATGATGATTTGGTTTCTTCTGGTGGTGCATACAACAGAAGTGGTACTTCTTTAACAAGTTGCACTTGAATAACTTACCCCTAATAATTGGCTACATGAAGGTGTTCCCTCATACAACATGGAGGCATGCATGGCCGTCTTTACTTTCGTCTTCCAGTTTCTTTTCCTCCTTTTTTTCTCAAGTTTCTGATTGAACAAATTCAGGTGGATTTTTTTAGAACTTCAAATTAAAGGAGGAGTAGATCAGTCTTCTAATTTTAAAGGGAGAACTAAAGTAAACATACTTTGTCTTATATTTTTCCCATTTTTGTAAAACTTTAGTAGATGCCACCTGTTTTATGTTCAACACAATTTTGTTAGACAGTATTTACTTTCAAACCATTTCAGTAGATCTCCCTTATGCTAAATATTCTACATCCACCATGCATGCTTGGTACCTTTATTTTTATCTGTTGCTTCTCTTTTCTCTTTTCAATCTTGAAGTAAATTTGAGGAAAAGAGATTGTCCTTCTTTCATTGTTTAACTTAGTGATTATTTTTATTAATGAATGTTAGCACATTGTTTATTGCATCTCTGAACATTGAATTAATCTTAATTCATATGCACCTGTTCCATGTTGTAGAATATGTTCTACAAATTTATGAATTTATTTTAGCCTTTTACCATGAGTATGCTAACTTCAAGCATGCAGAACTAAGCATTTGCATTCTTAGTCAGTAGATATATGAATTGATGGTGAAGAAAAAGAGCAACTTTGTGACATTTAGCACTGATGTATTTTCTGTAAGGCTGCCAGTTCAGTTTAATTGGAGACAAATGTCAAGTGCGAACTGTACTTGAAAATATTTTCATGTGAAAGGAGAAAGTGTGGGTTCTTGAGAGGATAGAGAGAGACTGATGTTATGGTTGTCCCTAACTGAAGAAAATGTGCTGGAGCAAGCTCTGAAGATGGTCAAACTGGTTCTCTTGTGTCAGCTCAGAAGTGGAATGAACACACACACACCAAAGGGTTGTGCTTCTGTTTAACCTTCCTTTTTCAGAGTTCGAGTTTCGGAGACCTCATTTGAAAAGTTCTTTTTATCTATAACTTTAGTGAATAACCTGTATTGTAGATGGTGAATGAGTCTCCACTTCAGTGCATCCTTCCCCTTCACTCTAAGAGAGATATTTTATATAGCCCGATGTTTCACATTATGAGTCGATACTTGCATGTTGTCTTTGCAGCTTTTTGTAGAAAAGAGTGCATTTTATTTTACTTTTTGAATTCCAGTTAATTTTGAAAAGAAATAATTGTTTTGTCATTTCTGATGGTACCACAATGATTAAAGGAAGAAAAAAAATGCCACCAAAGCTTAGTTTTTGTACATGCTTCATGTGCACCAGCGATTTCATCCATAGCTTAATATGCATGTGCACTTCAACCAAATTTAAAGTCATTGAAGAGGAACATTTATCCTAGTCAATTCAGAAAATAACTGACTTATGCTTTGCAACTGCAACGTTTCAGCTTTTTCTTGTTTTAATTTTGCCAACTGTTATGTTTATTTTGTGCCACATCTTATGTGCAGCTTATTTTTCACTGTTGTATGTATTCATGACAACTTCTACATTTGGTTTGCTATTGCTTTATGTCTGTCCACGCCTGCTGCGCCCGTTGGCTCATCATCCATTGGTCACCCTGTTCCGCTCTGCTTGTGTGCCGCTGCCTGCCCTGCCCTGCCTGAATGTGATGCCATGCCATTCGATGACGCCACTAATAGCCTGGAGTCGCCATGTCAAATGTAGGCGCTCCACAGGATGTGGGCAAGAAGCGCTCTCGTGACCCAAGCGATGACATGATAATGGTACATTTATGCTTTGCGTGCTATCTTTATTTATTTTCATTTTCACCAAATTTACTGCGAATGGTTTTCTTATATGGTGCTTATGGGTCCACATGTGAGGACTTACCGCAGTCAATTTGGTTAAATTAGTTTTTAGTTACAAAGTACACACTTCAAGGGAACTAATCATATTTAAAATGTGTCATTATGTTGCAGTGCTTTAACTGCAATCTTTCAAATCTTTGTTACAATTTAAAGAAACGCTCCTGAGAAGTGTGTTCTGTATGCATGCCATTCCACTGCTGTATGAAATTTGTGTTAGGCTTGCTTAGGTGACTGGTACATATTATGAAATGACAATTTTGTAAATCAAATCTGGAATTTCTCTGGAAGGGGAAGAATGTGAGGCATCGTGATTTGGTTGTTTTTTTTCTTTTTCTGTTTTTGATTGAGTTAGTACGCAAGTAGCTGCATTTTATAGTTTAAGTTTCAATAAAATATATTTGTTGGAATAATTCTGTCAAATTTTGCTAGGCCATGTTCACAATCCAGCAATGTAACAACATTTTAATATTAACTTGAGTTTCAACTCTGTTACAAAATAGTCGAAAAATGACCATGTGAACAGTGAATGCATTAAGGATATTATTCAATTACTTGTGTGTCATGGGAATTGAGTATTTAGTTACTATATGTATCAGGACACAAATCCTGTTGCAAAATAATACCAGTCACAATAGATAGTAATTGCCTAGAATACAACTTTCATTAGCACTGCATTAGGAATCCGAGATAACAGCAATCACTTTGACCGTGTAGATTTGGTGGCATTGAGTTCTGTAAGCGAGCTTTGCTGTGAGAGCAAGGTGCATCTAAATGATGAGAAATCAACGAAACTGACATCAGATGTTATTGTTTTTTGTTTTACAGATGGATATGAAGTCAGTGGGATCATTCTACTATGAAAACTTTGTAAGTGAAGATGCTTTGTTGCCTGCTGGCCTACCAGCTATGCTGGCCTTGTCCTGCTGAATGCTGTGTTGTCTGAATTTAATTCTCCTTTAATGTCAAAACTGTAAAACATGACAAACATGGTTTTGTGCTGGCTTGTAAGCATGCCTTAAATTGCAAAGATTTCCCCCATTTTTTTCCTTAAAAGAAAGGTATAAAAGACATGCTTAAAAGTCATCACATGTCATTTATAAATTGTACTGTTCCATTAAATTTTTTTTTACTGACGACTGCTTCAGCTATAAAATTGATGTATATTGAAAGCTTCGAGGGAGTGGTAGAAACATTTTATATTGCGTGATCGGATGTACAGCTTGAGCAGCTAATAGCAGCAGATGTAGCTGATGCTGTAATTTTGTCACCTTGCAAGCTACCAATTTTTTTGAGAAAACTCTACATCAGAGCTCAGCTTACAGTGACTTTTTGCTGTTTTGAGGTTTTATCATTGTATGTACCACTTGGGAAGTATTGGTGTGTTTTTCATTGGTATTCGTGAGGAAAAAGAGGAAAGTGTGAATCAATTTTCTGTGAATCAAAAACATTTTTCTTCGAATGGAAACGGGAAGGGGGCAGTTCATTATGACATTGTAAACCACACTTTCAATTATTTTGATTAATTTTTTTTTTTCAAGAGTTGAGGGAAACAGAAATGGCAGCTACTCTGTGAAATGACCAGTTTTTTCGTACTCAGTGCTGAATGGCATGCAAGTTGCTTGAGAATGCTCTGTGCGTCGCCTCGCGTCGCCTCTTTCCAGCTACCCGTGCGGTGCCCGCGCGGTGCCTGTGCGCTGTGCGGTGCCCGTGCTTGTCGGCCGAGTGCTTGCGCCTCGCGCCACGGCCCATGGCCTGCGGCTAAGGCCCGTGGCCCCGCGCTCCCGCAGACCCGACCCCCCCGTGCTCATCCCCTGTTGGTGCTTTTGCAGGCCTTCCCCGGAATGGTGCCTTACAAGCGGCCGGCGGCGGACAAGTCTGGCCTCCCCATGTACCAGCCCAACACGACGTATCAGCAGCTGATGCAGCTGCAGCAGCCGTTCGTGCCCGTATCATGTGAGTACTCGGCCGGTCTGGCTCCACTGCCTGCGCTGCCTTCGCTCCCCCAGCTGCCTCCCCTGCCCCCCTCCGGCCCCCCAAGCTCCTCCAGCACCTCCTCGACGGCCAGCAACGAGGCTGGGAGCAAAGACGACTACCAGGAGAGTAGTGGAGGCGGAGGCGGGGGCACCTCCTCTCAGCCGTCCACCAACACGGCCACCACCACGACCTCCACCGCCCAAAGCTCTACTGCAAAGCCCTCACCTACCTCCTCCATGCCTGTATCCGCCGCCACGACGGGCCCAGTGCCGAGCAGTGCAAGCACTAGTGCAAGCAGTGTGAGTGCTTGCAGTGTGAGCGTAGCTAATCCGCTGACCGCCCTCTCCTACACAGGTGTGGCGCTTAACAAGCAAGCCGCACACCAGTCCAACCACAACCCCTCCCAGACCCCCGGGGCATCGCAAGCCGTGGTGGCAGCTGTACCCCGCTACCCCGCCAACCTCACCCAAATGTCCACCCTCTCCCAGCTGCCTCAGATGTCGACCATGAGCCAGCTCGGCCAGATGTCACCCATGTCTCAGATGAGCCAAATGTCTCAGATGTCTCAACTATCTCAGATGAGCCAAATGTCGCAACAGATGTCTCAGATGTCTCAGATGTCCCAACAAATGTCTCAGATGTCTCAGATGTCGCAAATGGGTCAGCTGGGAGCGGCGGCATCAAATCCCTTCCTGACCTTCAGGCCGCAACATCCCCAATTTTTCTCCCCCTTCGGAATGCTGCGCCCACAAATGTTCCCGTCTGCGGCGGCAGGCCAAGCCCAAGTTTCCCCTGTCTCCTTTCCCTTCCCCTCAGCCACTGGTGCAGCTCAGAACGCAGCGTCTACGCAGGGGCTTTTAGCCGCCAGTGCAGCTGCTCAGTACAACAGTAATAGTGTGGTGGTCCAACCTTACAAAAAGATGAAAACAATTTAATGTGCCTGACCAGCATGCCCACTTACAAACTAGCCTTAATTAATTAATGAGTTTGGATTCATTTCTAGTCAAAATTCCCCAACTTTTAAATATGAGAAAGCAAAAAAATTTTAAGAAAAATGGAATCAGTATTTTTTTTTTTTTTTGGCAAAGGGCTAAACAAACTGAAAATTTGACAAACTTTATGATATGTAAGAAGGGCTTGATATTGTGCGTTCTTGATGAACCGCGTGTCAGGCATGTGCCTCTGTGTGGTGACACACACAAGGTTGTACAAACAGACTGTCGCTGACTTTACTGTAAATATTTCAAAGAGAAATGATGTGTACCAATTTTACCACTTTACAAGATTTTTCAACTATAAATATATACAAATATATATATTATATATATATGCAAAGTAATATATAAATTCTTATTAATTAACATAGTGTAATGCTGATTGTGGTAAAATCAAAGCAAGTGGGAAATTCTTTTGATGTTAGTAATTGTACATGTGAGGGACATAAGATAAATTTTCTCCGTTGAGAATTTCTTTTCCGACACTATTAGTGTTCTCATTACCAAATATGTAGGCATTCTAAAGAAATAATGTGTGAATGAGTGAACACCAGTGACAGACAGCTGGTAGATGTTAGTGCTAGTTTGATAGGTGACTGGACTGTGATAGTGTGATAGCTCAAGAGCGTGCAGTGTGGACAAGTGTGGTGTACCATACTTTTTAAGTACCTGTTCTGCTCCCACTGTATGATCTAGGTGTTTTATAATGCTGCTTGATCATCCATAAGTCAATTAATTTGACTTGAATTCTGCGCATGCCAGGAAATGGGGGATCACTGATATGCATTAAGTAGAAGCATGGTACAACATTATACTATCAAACTTGTAGATTGTATTAGTTTATATTTCTGTGTTGTTGATTTTTCTCCTCTATCTTTCTCCCTGCTATTTGTCTCCTTTTCTGTGAATCTGTCTCCATCTGTCTGTCTTTCAATCTGTCTCTCTGTCCATCTTTCTTTTTCTTTATTTTTACCCATGAGCACACAACATTTCCAGTCTTAAAATCTCTAAGTTACCGCAGTGTTTGTTTGATAGGAAAGGAATTAGATTTGCAGTGAGCTTTATCCTTTTTGTTCTTGTTTCTATCTTTTAATGGCCACCTTACATTATTGTTTTATGCTGATTTTTATTTGCTATGACTAGAGGTGTGCCCTGTTGCCATACTGTTCAGAGTGTCTTTGTTGATTTTGCGCTCCTGGGTTAAGCAGCATTGGCCTCTATCTAAAGTGTGTATTTGTTAAAACAATCATTGTATGCTGTACGCCCTGACCATCAGTAGACTTGGTTCCTCCTGCAATGTTGTGGCTTCCTTCCCTGGTCCTTTTCCCCCCTGGCTCTCCTCTGCATCTTATCACCTTTGCTGGAATGTCCCGGGTGCAGGGACTAAAACCATTGTTACGCTCAGACAATATCCACCATCCAGTTGACTTGATAAATGATTTTTAGCTTTTAATTTTTAACGATTCTTGAAAACCAGTGCATGTATGTGATATTTAAGGCCTATATCTGTGTTAGATTCAGCTTATATCCTTGAATTACAGTTAGTTTAATGGGCGATGGGAGTAATAGGCTAGGTTTACGGTATTTCAACAAGGGATATTGGCTGTTGTCTGGGCTTCTCCATTGAGTCTAGTACTTTGTTCGTGTAGCTGCTTTTTTCCACTCTGTAGTGACGAACTGTATGTGTGTGCCTGGAGCCCAGACCTGACTCACTCCAACAGACCAGTCTTACTGATAGTGTGCAGTTCATTTGATTAGTGTTCCTATTATAGTAAACATATTTAACCCCTGAATAATGTTTAATTGGGAAAAAAGAATACTTTTAAAATTAACTGTTCTTGGTTCTTAAGATCCCAGATCTTAATGAGAGGTACCATTGAATATTATGATTCACACATTAAATGTTGTTTGAAATATTATATATAAAATTTAGTTTTAAAAGATAATGCCATGTTTCATTTTAAATTTGTTGAAAGTAAATGAATTTTTAAGTAGTGTGTAGGCACATTATTTTTGTTTATTGATGTTAATTTAATTTTCCAACCTTCTTGTTTTATTTGTTCAATGAATGGATATTTGCGTTTTTCAAAGTATGTTGTTGTGACTAAGGAGTACAGAGTAGGAGGAGTAGGAACGTTGTACTGTCAGGAGGTAGCAAAACTGCTTTGGACTTGAATTTGTTCGGTTGGAGCACTCTGACTAATCACACTCTGTCCGTTGCTATATCTTCTTTGTTTCCTGAATGTTCCCACCGCAGCACTTAGGCAGCAATCGCAAAACAGATCATTTAGTTTCAAATACTTGATGTTTTCTATTCTCGCATTTTTAGCAGTGCTTGTCATGTGCTTTTAACATTTTCGACAAGATGAAGGTTTGATTGATTCAAACTCCTTCGTATATTTATCGAACAACGCTTTATGAAACTGTTGCATGGCTTTTGTACTGAAAACAAAGCGGAATGCGGGTGTTGTGCTGTGTTGTACATTGTGTGATGTCAGAATGTTCCAGCAAGGGATAGTTCACATTAGGGGAGGATTTCAATTGAATGCAACAAAGAATATCAACTTTTTTTTTTGTCTAGCTTCATTCTCTGAGTATCAATAACAGCATCCCTCACCGTATTCTTTTACTACATAAACAATGTTGGAAATTTTGAACCAAGACGCACTTAAACCAATCATATTTAACATTTAGTGGCCCTTTCAGTGATCATTAAACTGGCACACCTCAAGCTGCTCTATTCTGATTTTGTTGAAAATTTTTTTTTACATTATATGTTTGTGAATATTTTTACTTTGGGCTGCTTCTGTCATATGCCGTAATACACTTCATTGATTGACAATGGTTGTCACTCTTACATTCCCTCGATGCAATATGAAAATGTCTTTCCTTCAAGTTGTGGTGGTTGCTCTTCCTTTCTCTGCTGTTACAGTTCTTCACGAACGAGTGCTTTTTCTATACAGCTGGCATTTTACATTTGCTCGTAGTCAATTATTATTGTCCGCTACAAAGACACCAATGCTGCCTTCTTTTTTTTAACTTCTACATATTTTCCCTAATTAGATAAATAGTCTGGTTTATTTCACATTCAACTAGGTGGCTTTTCTATGTGTCAAAGTGTGATGTAGTATGACACAAAAAATGAATCTTTAGCATCGCATGGTGAAATGTTGAGTGTGGCATATGCAGCAATAGAATTGTGGTATGACATGTGATTGAAGTTTCCAAACATGAGACTCTGTGCTTGGCATTTCTTGGACAGAGAGAGCTAAGTTCTGTCTCAGACCATTAAATTTTATAGAGCACAGCTTCACCTACTCCTCTCTCTCCCCCTTCTGTTCCAGCTCTTAATTTTTGTTGTCATTACCGGGTCCCTTTGTCAATGCTTTTCTGCCCACACTCCCAATAGTTCCTTTCCGTGCAGCACCTCCTTTACTTTCAGGCAGTTAGGATGACTGGCTTTAGTCCCTTTTAATTGTTTGGTATATCCATCATCATATGCAATGATGTTGCACTAAGTGCGTGCTGACTTAGCTAGTTCTCAGGTTCCGTAGTACACTGGAGGGAATGACGGCTTTTGCCATGCCAGGCATTTGTGAGAATGTGTGCCGCAAAAAAAGAAATTTTAGGAAAGTAAATGTTTACTTTTTATTTCAAGTATAAATATTCTTTTGATTTTTGCTTCATCTGGAGTGGCCTGAAATTTTTAGTGAGGAGTGTTTGGGAGCGTAGACGCCCTTGCCTGCAATGAGTGCATTGACACTCCCACTGCGAGTCCTGTTGACCCTGCAAGCCCACAAACACTCGACTGCTTTTAAGTTTGCATTCAATGAAAAATATCCCTGTGTGAACACTGCTTCATGCCCTGAGTGCGCTCAATGAGTAGTTGGTTTGGCATTGGGTAGCATTCACAACCAAAGTGCCTTCTGCATTGCGCTGTCCTGGTCTTAATGTTTTGTTCTACTTTTTTTAATGACTTTTTTTATTGAGACATTACATTATTATCATTACTTAAAGGGCAAAAAGAATGTACATCTTGGTTTTGGGTTGTTTTTAATTTCTCGACGATAAAATTATGGTCTGATGATGTGGCTGCCTGATGTGTCACGCTTATTTGCCATTCACATGTATACTCCTCTGTATGTACTTGCATACTGGATCTGTACTCCCACATTGATTGTGTTCTATGCTGTACTGTACTCTCCTTACATACTGCTCATTCTGATGTCTTGTAAAAAATGAAGATCATATATGAGGAGCAAGTTACTTATAAACACCAAACAGTATTTGTAATAATAATGCTTGAAAAATGCATGTTTATTTGTTTTATTAATGCTTCTATTTTTCTCACTCTCTGAAAACTTCTGTCCATCCCTGTTAGTAATCCCTAGCTGAAAATCCTCTCCTTCCCGCTCATTCCAGACTAGTGAGGTACCGATGATTTTGTAGTAAGGATGCTTTTTGCCTTCACTATTCAGTTGAAACACATTATGTTTGAATCATTCTGCTTTCAGTGGCTGGGCCGAAGGAGACTAAGCAAGGCTTGGAATTGTATTCATAACTTAAGAAAGCTTCTGCTCTTGTTCAATTCTGAGCTTGGGTGGGCAGTTACACTAGCATCCTAATTAATTGACAAGCGGTACCAGATTTGTCTTGGGTGTTAAACAGAATAAAGGTTGGATGGATTGTGGAACTGAGCGTAGACATCTTAAGCTGCTGAACCACATGCCAGATCACGCCAGCCAGCCAAGACACGCGACCCACACTGTGCATTGCCTATTCTGTAGTAATTACATTTTGCTCGCTCTCTCCAGATCCGCTTCATCATTCTTGACAATGATAAGGCCATTCCTCATGCTTTTTTTTAACTGACTTACCTCAATGCTTGAGCTTTTTGAAGTACCTTATTAACGCTTTATCTGTATCATGTGGACTCTATCCACATGCCCAGCTCACTTTCTAACTGGCTTTCACGTGAGTGAACTGTCTATGTTAGAGCTCTTTTCTGAAATTCTGTTTATTGCATAATGAAACTGACTGAACTCTGCATTCTCTGTGGAGTTCCCATTTATTCATATTTGTCAAATTTGTCTTCCATTACATTCTTTATTTTAGTATCCTTAATGTAATATGTGGTAGATTCTGTTTTTCGTTTGTGAGCTGGGTTTTGTACAGAATTTTCAAGTTATTTCAACTGCGAAGACAAGATACTTCCTACAAGCTGTTACATAAGAAAGCAAATTTAGGGACTGGAGAAATTGCTTATACAGTGCAAAAATGAATATAAAGACCCCAGCCCTGATAGTGATGTATTTTTAAAGGTTCCAGTACATATGCTTTTTTTGCTAACACATTCCATCCCTTATGCATCGTTCTTTCTTTCCAATAGCAAAAAAAAAAAGAAACAAAGTCAAATATACTTGCACTTGATGGTATAAAACTGAAGAACACACCTTTCTTGGAGCGTATTGTGTGCTTTATAGCGAACACATGCACACCTTTGGCAAACCTCTTAATAACTATGACTTGTTAGATGCTTCTCATTCTTGCTTATGTGAGCGATTTTCAGCTAAGTGCACTATCTTTCCAAGCAATATGTACCATTTTTCAGATTTTTTTTTTCTATGAATTAAAAATGAATGTCTTTTTATAAGCTATGCAACTGAGTTTTAATTATTAGGAGGTCTTGCCTCATGATGCCTAGGAAAAGACACAGCTCATGTTTCAGTGGCTATGCTACAGCTCTGCTAAATATAGATGCAACCAGGAGTCTGTTTGCTGTGAACACTGTGCATATTCTTTCTGTCTTTAACAGCCCTAGCGGGTTTGTTGTTATTGATGACTACTGAATTTGTGTGTGAAAGGAGTAGACATTCCTGCTACTGTAAGATGCCTCTTTGCTTTGTTTTTTGCCATGTTCTTGAATGCGGTGTTTGTAGCTGTATGCTGAGACCTGAGCTGGGTGCGGTGGAGTTGGAAAACACTTGCTTCGAAAATATCCTACTTACTCAGTTTCACAAGCCTCCATTTGGCCAAGCGAGGATCACACATTCGGCGAGACTTGGCGCAGATATTCACAATAACTCGTCCCTTAACGTACTACAAACACAGTATGAAAATATCTGACCAGATTTAACAGTGAATGGAACTAATTTGTTCCACAGTTTCCGTACTCTCTTGAGTGGGCTACATGAGCAGTGCAACTGCACGGGCAGCATCACTCCGGCCATCGGTACACCTCTAATCTGGCCCATGGAAGAGAGTTTTTATTTTTCAGTTCCCCGTGTTGTGTCCCTTCTTTGCGCTGCTGTGAAGCTTAGCGTTCGCTTCGCTGGCCATGGTGCACGTGGAGGTAAGGTCTAGAACTAACCACCCGCCCGCCCACTCTGCAGCCCACCGCAACCCACTACCCACTTCACAATCACCTTGGCTACCTTGAGCCACTTGTACTCGAACCTGACACCCTGTACCACACAGCCAGATGCCAGACCCATGGAACATGGAACAGTCTGCCGGGTAATAACGGGTGCTGGTTTACGTATATATCAGCATTTTATACTTGATTCTTGGGATACATATCGCTTGAGCTGCATCATGTGAAAGAACATCAGCATGCTAGCAAAGCATGTATGCGTAGATTTTATATAACTTTGTTTGCCACAGTTTCTTTTCTTTCCATGGTTGGATTCCAGAGCAGAATCCAGAATTTCATTCTTATTGAATACTGTCAGACTCCATTTAAGGGGATTACTGATGTTACATTTCAAAAGTTTTATTTGAGTTTGTTATCAAATTCTTTGAATGTTTGGTCATTTGGTCATTACAAACAGAATTTAAAGTTAATTATTGGACATTAAAACACATTAAAACAAGGAACAATTTTACACTTGGTGCTTTGGAGCAGAGTAAGTTACTCCTAAGCTTCCCTGCGTATATTTCACATGAATATGTTTAGCGTGTTATTCGCTTGTTTGGTTTGTGTGAGTGTGTGTGAGTGAGTGTGCGCAAGCGCATGCTGCCCTTAAGCTACTGTCTTCCCTCTCTTAACGTTGGCCTCCATTTTATGATTTTAGGTGTCTTCAGCTTCAGCTCGAAATTTGAGTCAATGCCTCTGGAAATGAACGTTTCTCTTGGCCCATAATAAAATTACAATAAATAATTAACATGTCAGTTATCTTTGTTCTGGATCAGGCAAAAAAAAAAGTTTTCACATTACCTTTATTTTGTTATTAATGTGCTGTGCTACCAGTGTAGCTTTTTTTAACCATTTGTCTGCAATCATTTCATTTGGATTACAGCAGGTTCATCAGTAAGCCTGCTTTAATATGTGTAAGGAATAAACAAGTCGTGACATTAAGTCACATTAAATCTAAGAGAAGGCATTATGTTTGCCTCTCATCGTCTACCACTTTGATTTTGCAGAAGTAGACATTATGCACACTATTCTTCTCAATCAGTTGTTCTGTCTAAGGTTGTGGAACTATTAATCCCTAGCCTGGCACATCTATTTCATAAAGCATGCTTTGTTGGATCCAGGTGTATGCACTAGTCTTTTCAAAAAGCTTGATCAACCATCGCGCAAGCTGAGCATTTGCTGATTGTTGCCGTGTGTAGTTTTGAAATGAAGAGATACATCCAGTTAATGCTAGCTGTCGATGCGAACAAAGTTGAGCTCTTTGCCGAGAGTTCATATATCAATGGCTTCAAAACCTAGCAAATGAACATAGCTTCAGAATTGTGGGGAAAATAAATTTCTCCTAAATGGATTAATAGTATTTTGGATTTTGAAAAGCCGTATTTTTTCTGGTGTGAATATACTTATTTCCTTTCAATGCTGTGACTTCCAAGTAGTCATTAAATGGTTGCTTTACCGTCAGAAGTGGATCAAAGGTATTATTTTCAAGTATCTATGATTGGTAGCATTGTGATTGTAACTTAAAACTTCCATGGCTTTTATCCCTTTCAGTGTTGTACCTTACCATTTCAGTGATCGGCCCTACTAAAACTGATGGCTCTTGTTGAAAGACAATCTTATTTTAAAATGCTTACGGGGAATCCAAACAGACCTGTTTGATGATGGATACAATGCATTGAAATTTCTTTCACTCTTGAGCGGCATGTTACTGAGTGGGATCTGGTTGCTTTAATGCATGCTCAAATTAATTTTGCCCTTTTCTTTTCTCTTGTGTTTATTTCTCTAATTTAACGGATGAGCCTGTGGCCACACCGGGCGGCAGCTTATTCCAGAAGTTGTATTATTTCAAGCTTGCCAGCTGCCTGTCTGTTTGTTTACTTGCCACATCTTACTGTGCGACTCTGCACACACCAATGCTGAATGGAACGCTCGCTCGAATGCTTTGTATGCCGCTGCTGCTGCTGCTGCTGCTGCATGGTGGGGCCGGCTCCAGCTTGCAGTCCTGCAAACGCTCCCTATGTGATCTACACTGACGACCAAGGACAGGTATTCTTCGACTTGTAGTATTCAATTCCGTCTACATATTTTACTTAATGAATATTTCATAAAATAATTTCTTATGCAAATTGTTTACTAAGGTTCACTGGAGGTTCATAAATTTTGAATGAGTAACCTCATGTCATTTTGCAATTACAATGAACTTAATTGTATGTTAAACAGCTAATCACGTGTGCTGTGCAAACACACACTGATTCTCTTCTTCCAGCACAGTAACGAGACGTCAGATAAGAAATATTCTCAAACTTTTTTAATCTTGTGGGGTCAACAGTTGTGCCTTTCTTTTTTCTTTTTCTTTTTTTTTTCTTTTAAGTAAAGAGAAACCTCCAAGTTTTGCTCTTGCAGTAATATTTTTTTTACTATATATTTTTAATATGGTTTTAAGATAAGTTTCCTATTGAATGAACAAAAGTTCATTGGGCTTGCTGCTCACTTTATATAGTTTGAGTCAGTGAGATTTAGTGCTCTTGCGGTTTTCGCCTTTGTTCCGTTGCATGCAGTTATTTTTTCCAGCAGCCATTTAGTGTGCATGTGCACCCACCACTTCTTTTGATGCATGTCTACATGAGAATCCTCATGATCTTCTACTGTAGCTATTTTGTTTGTTTTTTAACTGCCTCAAAATTTATTTTTTTACTCTTAAATTCTTTTTTTTGTTGTTGTTGTTCATTTGAATTTTGTCTGGATATTCAATCTTGCATGTGTTACGCTAAGTCTGCCTCAATAAAATTCTGTCAATTGTTAACTTTTGTTGTTGCATTTAATCTAAAATCAAATTTGAACCAATATTCAAATTAGAAGTCTGTTATTGGCACTCTGAGATATTAAAGTATATATGATGGGGGGGGTTACATAT